CCAGATCGCTCAGTGCTTTATCCAATCTGAAGGGCTCAAAAAAGGACCTCTGGAGATCATCTAGTCCAACCTCCCTGCTCAAGCAGGGTCCTCTAGAGCATATTTCCCAGGATCACATCCAGACGGGTTTTGAATATCTCCAGCGAAGGAGACCTCTGAGATGGGCAGAGCGTCTCCCAGGTCACCTTACGGGCTGAGGGGGGCTACTACTCGGGGGGGGACTCATTACGGGATGTCCGGAAGAGCAGTTTGGGGTTGTGGAAGGCTCATTCCGGGATGCATAGGGGAGGAACCAAAAGTGGGGAAAGGGAGGGATCAAAGTGGACTGGGGAGAAACAACCATGGGAAAACAGGGATAAGGGGATAAAAGGGGCCAATCATGTGTGAACATGGTGCTGGTTTGTATGCTTGTCTGGCCATGCCCTGAGTCTGACCAGTACAGTCTGTCCTGTCTTCTCATTAAACCCAATTTCTAACTACTTTCCCAGAGGCTCTCTGTTCTGTGTGCACACATGGTTTGCTGCTGAGTGCCACCCACTGCACTGGGACCACATATCACAGGGGCTGGTGAACCTGGGATGTCAGCACTGGAGAGACCAGAGTGCGTGCACACAGTGTGGCGTGCATGGCAATGCAAGATCATTTCGACACATCCAGCTGGACCAGCCCACGAACAGGGTAGGAGGCTTGGGAGCCCAGTATTGGAGCGGCCGTAAGTCTGGGTTGAGGCCTGGAGACACCAGAGGGTCTGAGGGTTGGCTACTGACGTGACCAGGGGGTCCAACTTGGCTCCTAGAGAGACTGTGGGGTCTGAGACTCGGCTGCTGGTGAGGTTGTAGGTCTCCAGCTGCTGGAGAGACATGGTTGCTTGTGAGTGTGTGTGTCTGTGCGTGATGCAACTGGGAGACCATGGGATCCAGAGCCAGCTGCTGGGTAGACTGAGTGTCTAAGGCCAGCTACAGGAAGGATCCATATATGTGTATATCTGTGTATGTAATTTCCACTAAAGACTTTCATCCTCATCAGCCAAAGAGGGGAACAGGATGAGGTCATTGGTGCAGTCTGTGTTTTGAGAGTGCTGTGTTTTCTGCCCGTGTTGATCTGAGTGGCTGGCCGGTCTCCATCTGCAAGCTCTCTGGGGCAGAGTCTGTTTGCACTGTGGGACCAGGTCAGCAGCCACGAATCTCCTCAGTGCAAGGGCAATAAGCGCACTGATATGCATGACACAGTAGGTCTCCAAGTGTATGAGAAGCACAGGGGATCTCCCTTGGGAAGAAATTCTTGCCTTGGACCTACCAAGACTTCCTGATCTGCTGTAGAGACGTATCAACAACTCAAGTGCACTCTAAAACAACCTAAACATAAAAGAGTCTTGCTTAAAGGCATACTCCCTATCTGCTATGCCCCTCCTCTGTCACCTAACCTGGCAGCCTAGAGACATTCCCTCCATGCAAAAGGAGATGGTGCCATTTCATGTATCTGGAAAGGAGACCTGAAAACCATCCAATTCCCTGAGCTTTCTGCAGGGTGGAGGAGCGGGTGCATTTGTGTCTGGCTAGGCTTGTTCGGGTGTGGAGAAGATATGGGTCCCTGGGGGGAGGAGAGCGCAGGAAGAAAGGATGCGTGAGAGCGTGGCACGCACTGCTTGTAGTCCAGGTGGAGCTAAATGATGGATGGCAGAAAGGCCCTGTCCTGAGCACGATTTCAGCTGCAGCTTGTAGGGGCTGCTTTGAGGTAGAAGCTCTGGCACATTGAAGCTTTCTAAATTTCAGGGCTAAGGCATTCATCCTGCCTCGGGTCTGTGCCTCCCAGTCTGTGCTTTGGGCAGGGCAGTGCTGGACCCCCTCCCAGGCTCTCTAAGGGAGCTGGCTGGTTGGAAGGGAGTTCCTGGGACAGTGCAGCTTACTGGGGGCCTCTCAACAAAATGGAGATACAATGGAGGCTGTCTCCCCATCTCACGCACTGAACTTTCACACATGTTCCTCCTGGACAATGACATTTGCAGAGTCTGGGACAGGACACAGGGACTGGGATCAAAGTGCTTTCAGGACAAGGACTGCACCTGCACAACACAACACCAGCTTTAGGAAACACCTCCCCTTTCTGACAAAACCCCCGCTGCTCTAGGAGCAGCATTCCCCACACCTCATAAATGACTATTTATTCATTTCGTTCTCCCATCCCACAAATTTCTCATTGCTGAAACCCTGCGCTGAGCAGATCCTGCACTGTTCTCTCCTACCCCTACTTTTGGGTAAGCAAGAAGCACTGAGATTGCAGGCAAAAGAGAAAGGGCAATGCAAAAGTGGATTTCAGCTGGACAGAGCATAGATGTTTGCTCTCTCGACCTGCCCTCTCAGTATCATGTTTACATGGCCCTATGCAGATCAGTCATGCGCAGCAAAATAAGTGTATCTATCTGCTTGCCTTATACAAAGAAGGATGACTTTATATGACTGATAAGAGAAGAAAGACTCCGACATTACGGCATTACAAGGGAGAGCTAATGAAAAAGGCTGAAGCCGCCTTGAAAATTTCCATCTCCTCACACAACAGACAACACAATCGCTCTGTCCTCCATCTGTTGTCTCTCTAGGGATTCCCAGAAGACAGATTAAATACTCCAGCATTGCTGCACTTAGTGATACACAGAGATGCACTGCTGCAGCCTTCCAGGTGGCAGGTAAGATAGACAGCTGTGCTTAACTTTCACAGCTGACTGGGATCAGAAGTTTTTACTTAGGCTATAAAGCTCTTCTGTGCTGTTTTCCTCTCTCCCAGTTGAAGTCCTGGCTGGTGATTAGGGCTCCTCAGTCCTGCCTCGATGCTGATAATAACATCGAAACAATTTCCTGCTCGTGCCAGGGTTGTGGAGCAGGTTGTGGAGAACAGCTTCTGAAAGCAGAAATATTCTTCACTTCAGTGTAGGCACCTGGGGACTTACCTCTGGATTCAGACACTTACTTTAGGTACCTGCAGGTAGGTGCCCGGTGTGCTTGTGTGCATGAGTGGTAAGTGTCTAAGCAATGACTACACTCAGTGGGGATCTAGCTCACATGGTCAGCAGATCTGGCAGAGCAGCTCAGCGAATGCTAGGGCAGACCCCTACATCTGGTCCTTGCTATGCTCCACTAGCAATGCACTAGGGCAGACCCCTACATCTGGGGAGCTGAGGTCCTTGCTATGCTCCACTAGCAATGCTCTCTGTCTCTCCTCTGGCTGCAGTAGGAGCTTGGAGCCTTAGGGTGTAATTTCACTGTCCCTTACTTGGATGTCTGGAGCCATTTGAGGTGCCTGGGGTCTACAGGGGACCTGCAGCCTGCTGGAGAGGGAGTAGGGGCTGAGAGAGATACACCGGGTGTCTCCAATGTCTCTAGGTACCTGTGTTTAGACAGCTGAGGCATACCCTGAGTTCAGGTGGAGACACCCTCATGTAGACACTCAGAGGTAGGTGAGTTAAATGGGAGCTTGTGGCATCACAGGGTTCACAACTCTGTTTCGCAAGAGAGGCTGGTCTGCAAAGCTGGTCCCTGCCAGTGTGGGGTCTGCTCTGGAACACGAATCAGTGAAAGCCACCAGTCAGCCTTACTGCCCTGCACAAATCTGGAGTCGCATCTGATTCCTACTGCTGCTGGTTACCAGGATGTAGAATGCAATAATTAAAAAAGAGTTTTAATTTTGTTTCAGCCTCTGAAATGTCCTGATTCAGTCTTTTAGGCCAGAAGATGAGCGTTTCTACTGTGATTGGCCCTTCGATCCAGCAGCTCCCACAGGAACCCCACACTCAGGGTAAACGGAGGCATCTTACAAAAGTCCACTCTCTATTTCAAAACCTCAGGTGCTGTATTTCCTTAGTTAGTTGTCTCCCCCTATCTACTTTAGTACTATTCTGAATTTGTCTAGCTTCTGTTTCTAATTAGTATGATGCTGGCCATGTCTAATGTTAATTTTTAGCCAAATGATCCTGGGGCTGGGCTGCACAGAGGTGAATTTTACTCTGCCTTGTCACTAGCAGGAGTATTTTCAGTCATGGGCCACCCCACAGCTTGCTGCTTGCTGAAAAGTTATGGATGGGTTGGGATTGATCCAAGCCATTCCTCTTAACAGAGGGGTCTGGTGCTGTCAGCACTTGCCTGGTCTTTACAGCTTTGTGGGGAGAAGCAATAGCAATGTTTAGTTCTAAATGAATGTGTAGCTCCTACCCATGATGCTCAGACTGGCCTCCTCCTTGTCTCTCCAGGATTTTTCTCTGGCTCTTTTTGCATTACCTTCAAGCTTTTCCTGCCAGAATAAAATCCCAGAAATGAATCTTTCCATCTTACTACTGCCTAGTTTCACAGACTTTTCTCATGGGTGAATGACAGAACGAAGACAGAGTAGCAAAAGGCACTTTCATGGTCCCATCAATGTCCCAGACCATGTTCTGAGACCACCTTTTGTCTTACAAATCTGGAGGAACTTTCTATGTTGAGCCTATGTCTTTCATGGCAAGGAAGCCAAGATAGCTGAGGCAAAAGCTTTGTCTGTGGAAAGTTTGATTCCAAAGCACCGGCCATTTACCCTCCTTTTACAGCTGATCTCAAGATGTTAAGTGAGTAGTGGCAAGTAACTGATGAAGAAACAAGCCTTTCACAAGTAGTGTGCTGTCGAAGTATGTCGGTCATCCCAGGTGGCACAACTGGAAACATGAATTTCCTCTTTGCCTTATAGTAACTTGCAAGCCATGAAAGCACCATTTATTCATCACTTCTGATCCATTCCCCCCTCCCAGCCATGTTATGCTGCAGAGGTCTCATATCACGCATCATGATAACAACATGGGTTCTTGCTTTGGCTTGTTGGTGGCTTCAGTGTCCCCACCTTATCATTCTTACTTCTGAACATCTCAAGGCTTCCAAACTGGTATATTTTTTCTTTTTCCTTGGACAAAAGCAAGATTGTCCTGCATGGCTTCAGATCCCTTCCGTTGCCCCAACAGCAGCTCTTCCTCTTTCACCCTTATGGGTGTCCCTGGCCTGGAAGCTTTCCACATCTGGCTGGGCATCCTTTTCTGCTCAGGGTATATCATTGCCTTGGTAGGAAATGGTGTGGTTTTGCTGGTCATTGGGCTGGATGACTCCCTGCGTAACCCAATGCATTGCTTCCTGGGCATGCTAGCAGTTATTGATTTAGTGATGGTGACATCCACTGTCCCAAAGATGCTGAGCGTATTCTGGCTGAACTCTACTGAGACTGGTTACCTGGCCTGTTTTGTTCAGATGTTCCTTGTTCATTCCACAACATCGGAGGAGTCAGGAGTGCTCCTGGCCATGGCCTTTGACCGCTACGTTGCAATCTGTCACCCTCTCAAGTACAAAGCTGTCTTGAATTGCCGGACAATGGCCCAGATAGGCCTGGTCATTGTGGGGAGAGCTCTGCTCTTCATGGCTCCCTTGACGGGAATGGTGACAAGTCTGTCTTATTGCCATTCCTGTGTGGTTCCCCATTCGTACTGCGAGCACATGGCTGTGGCAAAGCTGGCATGTGCAGACCCCAGGCCCAGCAGCCTTTACAGCGTGGCTGGATCCTCCCTTATAGTAGGGACAGACATGGCTTTCATTGCTGTGTCTTATGGAATGATCCTTAAAGCTGTCCTGGGGAAGAAATCACACTGGAAGGCTTTCCGCACCTGTGGGTGTCACATCTGTGTGATGCTGCTATATTACATCCCTGGAGTGGTCTCCATATATGCTCAGGCGTTTGGCAGCAGTCTATCTGTGTGGGCACAGGTTCTCCTGGCCGATCTCTACCTGATCCTCCCCACCATGCTGAACCCTGTCGTTTACAGCATGAGAACCAAGCAGATCCGTCAGGCAGTGCTGAAAATGCTGTTTTCCAGGAAGGTTCATGCCTGACAGAATAATCAACAGTTTTCCAAGCCTATTCATCGATAGGAAGACACCAGTTTCATTCCCACTCAATGCTCTCTGTGAACAGAGCCCTGGGAGGGGAGGTCATTAGCTTTAATGACCACGTGAGACCCTACTCTGTGACAAGAGGTATTTGAGACGGGACAAATATCAGGGTCACATTTCCCTTTCTTCTTTCTAGCTGATACAGCTGCCCTGGTTGAGTTTTGAGTTATTCTCAATGCCATGAATGTTCCTGTGATAATTTAAAGCAGCAATTTAGGGGTCCATATATTTTCATGTCAATACACAGATTCTATTTTGAATGGGGAATACTTTTCTGTTTTTATTCCCAGTTAGGCTAACAGGGCTAGCAATAGAAGACTGTCACATTGCAGATCCTCTAGCCGCACAGAGGCCTCTTGCACGAAAAGCTGAGCCTCCCTGAGCACAGACCAGCTTTTCCAGGTTTGTGGATGGTAAGTGAGCATTTGATAAGTAATTTGATCACTGAATAAAGCCTACCAGTGAGTCATTCAAAGCAGAGAAGTGGTGCCTCACCAGCTATTTTGCAGAGTACTGGAAACAGCTGAGCAGAGGTAGGTCCACGATCTGGAGGAACAGCCATAAACAGATGGTAATGTGGAGAAAACATCCTGAACTCTTTAAAGGACTCTGTCAATCTGACAGGTTGCCCAAGCTGGGTGAGGAAACCAGAGCAGGGAGGTGCATGATCCAGGTCTCTGTATCATGTAGTAGTGAAAGTAAACACTGATTGGGGAATATTTACTAATCCTGTGTCTTGTTGTAATGGTCACATAGCATGTTCACAAACAGCTAAACCTAGCATGTCTTAGAGGCCTGAAAGACAGCATGCCATAGGTCTGAGCGTCCTGAGCGGGAATAACTCTTGCTGCCAGTAGATCAGCTGCTTCCCAGACTTCTCTGAGCCAGCCAGCTGCTTCTAACCAGGATTCACTGACCCAGTCTGGATGTCACAGCATTCCGAGAGAGGTGGCGTTCCTGGATGCAAGAACCTTCCTGTCCTGGAAATCAGGATTCATCCGGAAAGGACTCGGACATGTCAGATCCTCCAGCAAGGACACTTTTTAATTGGAAAGTGCAGGCATGAGGAACAATTCTGGGGCTCTACAGCTCTGGGTCAGCATATGAAAAGTCCATCTCTGGCCCTGGGTGATGACGTACTCTGCAATCAGTATTTTAAACTGACAGCAGCCAGGACCCTACTTGGGTCTGAGGGCTGAGGAGGAGCAGAGGGATGAAGGTCAGGGACTGGCTCCATTAATGCAAGGATTCAGAAGAAAAGTGTGTAGAGTTGCACGGCATGTTTTGTCTGACAGAAAGGAGGTGGGACAGCTCTTATCCTTCATGGACACATGGTCACCACCATCTCCCTTACAGCCCTGGGAAAGAAGACTGGCGGATGTGGCATAATTCCTCTGACTATATCGGATATCAACTTTAGGCTGGGGTGAATACTACCCTAAAAGTACTGTTTCTATCCACAGATATATAGGAAATCTGGAAGACTAGCTCCAGATATAGACAGATACCATGTCTACAAATGTCACTTGTATTGGTTCAGATGAATTCCACCCAAAATGTTTTGTTTAGTCCTTGAAATTTTACATTATTTTTAAAATGAACCTCAGGGAAATGCATTCAAATTCAAAACCAGTCCAGAAGTGTCATTCCCCACATGTCAGAAATATTTTTTCCTGTCTTTGTTCTTTCCTGGCAGCTTGAAAAAACAGTTGTCAAAATGCTTGTGCTATCCTGAATTCATATTTTTCAGTGCACCAGTCTGAAACTTTTCACTTGGCTCTCAAAAGGTGCTGCCTGTAGCTCGGGGTGGGGGGAGGTAGCACAGCTCACAACATGGCAAGGCCGTAGGAAGAGTCAGAAGAGACCTCCAGCTACTCATCAAGTAGTAATGGAGATGAAATTGGACTTGCATTTGCTCCAGACGGAAACGTGAAGAAGGTCTTTCTTCTGGAGACAACTTGCTCACTCTATTCCTTTCTCACTTGGTCGTCTCCTAGCATCTGCCGTTTGAGAAAGACATTAGATGAGCAAGAACTGACTTGGGGCTGAACCCAGCCCCTTTGCTGAGATTATTGTAGGTGGTGTCTGGAGAAGGCTCATTGTCGTGGGAATCGCTGTGTGGGAGGAATCTCCCCGCGGGGCTGTCTGGGTGTGACTTATGCCCAAACCTGCAGCCTGGCCCTCGCACAGGGAGGCATTTCTTCTCGGTGTGAACATCCCCAAGGGTGGCTATGAGCCGAGTGAGATGGGTGGCCGTGCAGGAGGACTGACATCAGCTGGGCTTCTGTCAGCTGCAAGATACAGCAAGCTGCTCCCGGTGCCCAAGGGCTGGAGGCTGATCTGTGCTTAGCATTTGCTGTGTATATGCAAGCGGTTTGAGTCAGTTAGGAAAAAGCTCTTGCTGGGAACCCTCTTTAAAAGGTCAGTTGTATGAAGCTTATGTAGTAAAAATTTCTTATTAAAAGAAACTGCATTCCAAAGGCTGTAGAATTCTGGTTTTTTAGAAGTATTTTTAAAGTAAAAACAGGCCTTGAGTTAAAAACAAGTAAACAACTAAATATCAAACTTCTTAACCAAACACAGAAGTTGTTAAATGGTAAAGACTCAATTTGTTTCCATTTGTACAAACCAATAAATAATTATGCATTTTCTGTAAAACAGGTTACACTTTCAATCATAGGTAATATTCTTAAATGCTTGTGTGCAGCAGTAAGTATACAAATAACAAGCAGAGGCACCTGGGAATTCTCACGAACAAGAAGAACATGATGAAACAGGCAGGATTGTTTCACATGACGTGAAGCGTACTCAGGACTGGGTGAAGATGGTGGAAGCGACAGGCAGCCCCTGGACAGAAGATCACGACTCAGTTCCAGACTATTAACATCTCGGATATGAAGGGTCCGGAAGGACTGAAGTGTTCTCCGACAAAAATCAGAAAGGAGGGCAGCTTGACTTCACAGCTGGGAATTGGGGACAAAACGTTATTTCGGAAAGGCTCCTTGCACCTGCAGTGCAATTTGTGGAGAAGTGAGCACCATGGTTGCACAGGGGAGCAGCTACGTGGTCCCAGGTCAGGATGCTCAGATAGTCTGAGGGATGATTACTCCAGCACTGAGGCTTCACCCATGACCTGAACGGGTGTCCTGAATGCTGTGCCGGCAGCTGGGCTAGGCAGGGCTCACTTTTGTGCCCTTTCCTGCAGTAAAGTTTTCGTTTGTTTGTTTTCCATAGGAAAATATAAAAAGATGTTTGAAGCATGCCGTGTGCTCGCCCGGCAGTCCCCGCAGCAGCCTGAGATGAACCACCCCACAGGGTCCGTGGGGCAAGGGACAAGGTGAGAGCACCATGGGGCAGAGCTCCCTTTGCAAGGCATAATGCAGCAGGCAGTAGTAAAACACCACCGGAGAGCACAAGGCTGCCTTTCTAGAAGAGAGGGTTGGGTCCTCATCCAATGGTAATTAACAGTGTGAGAGACTTCACTGTGATGGATAAAGAGGAATTAAACTACGGAGAAAAAAATGTCCGTGTGAGCCTAGGAACTGACAGTGGTGATCTAAATGCATTCATTTCAGTCCGTAATACCCATGGCTGATGTTTCATCAAGTTCCTGTTGCCCAAAGCTAATTAAACTTAAAGGCAGAGGGAATTTAGGCAGGAAAACTGCGGAGAAAGTTGAGAGACATTTTGAATGAGTGCACTTAATAGCCAAACCTTCACCCCGGCATGCTTGCAGGAAAGGACAGCTGTGGTTAGGAAAGTGAACGGAGCACTTAATACTGCAGTTAAAACACCATGGACAAAAGTGAAATAGGGGAGCCAGTTAGGGTCTGATATGAATTAGAAGCCATTAAGTGTAGAGAAAAGCAGATAGAAGAGGGCGAAGGCATCTGCATCCCTACATAAAGGAGAAAGGGCCATGCCTGCTTGAGAGAAAGGCAATCAGAGAACTTTCTTTTTTAAAGTAATTCAATTGATTAGCAGCTAAGAGGTATGTTAAACAGCTTCTATTAAGAATAAAAAACAAATACATCAGCAGGTCTGTGTAATTTGCACAAGGGAAAAGTGTCTAAGAGTTGGCCAAGGAGGTCTTTAGCTTGTCCTGCCAGAATTTATTAGTGCTGGCATGCTGTAGTGGCTGGGGACAGGCTTCCTCAGGCCATTACTGTAGCGAGAAAGCAAGATGATGGGATTAACTACAGATTGGTCAGCCTGACGTCAATGCCCAGCAGAATACTGAAGAGGTTAATAGGAGTTTTGGTCAATAAAGAATTAAAGGATGGGAATCAAATTAAATTAATGGCAATCAACATGGCTTTGCAGGAAATCGCTCCTGGCAAACAAACCTGATCTCATTTTCTGATGAGATACCGAGTGTGGTGAATTTGTGTGTGTATGTGTACCGCACACGGAGTTATGCAAGCAATGTGCCTCTACCACCCTACTTTCAGGTGACGAGCTGATGCCATGCAACATCCATGAACTGCTAACGGTGGATAAGAACTGGGTAATTAAGAGACTGTAGAATGAAGCTGTCAGTGAACAACTATCACAAAATGTTTGTGTTCCTGCGGGGTCTCCAAAAGGGCTCTCTCTAGACTAGAAGCTATTCTGTACTACTTTCAACAGTTATCCCCAAATTGGTGCAAATTCACTGTAGGCTCATCTGTGTATGAGCCAGGAAAAGCTGCATCTCAAATAACAGTGGGGAGCGGCGTGCAGGACAGCATAGGGGGTTTGGCAGACTTCATCATCTAAACAAACTGTCTGCAATAAGCTGAATATCAGGGCAAGGAGAGTAGGTCAGGTGTTCAGAGCAGGGCGCTGTATCCTGGCAAACAGAGACTCTGGAAAGCGACTCAAAGCACACTCACAGGGCAGTACTGGGACCCAAACAGCTAGTGAAATTTTGCATGCATAAGAGGGAAATTGGGGAAATTGCATTTTCCTTTTTAAAAAAAAAAAAAAAGTGGAAATCTTGGAAATGTCTTTTTGAGAGTTTTTTTTTTTTTTTGCACAAAGAGATAGTGGCATAGACTACTGGAAATGAGAAATCTGCAGTGCTCAAGGTCTTCAGTTTATTAGGAATAATTCTTTGATCATGGGAAGTATGTACCTTCATGCAGTGGAAATACTGTGCTGTAAAGGGCTCTCTGGCCAAGTGTAGGAAGGTAGAGTAGGACGCTGTGACTGGAAGGAGTAGCCAGGCAGTGTCAAATAGGAAGGAAAGCATACAGTTATAGCCATGCGAATGATCAGCGCTTGAGACAAAATGCCAAGGGATGCAGCTTCTCCCACAAATCTGATCCCTGCAATGGCAGCTAGAAGCCATGATGGAACAACACCCCATGGCTCCAGCCATCAGACAGATGTCTGCTGCAAATGTTAGCGACAAAACACAGTGGCTGGAAGGGGAAGCAGAAGGTGGCCCCACCTGCATTATAAGAGGGACAGGACTTGCCAGTGATCTGTCCTCCGGAAAGAGCTGACCACAGCACCAGTTTAAAAGCCTCACTGCAGATAAAGAGTTCTGAATGTTTTGCCCCACATAAATGCAATAGAACTGTGGGATGTGTGAAAATTGCAAGGTGCAAACAGTTTTATGACCAACCAGGTGATAACAAAACCCCAACCCTTCTGTCAGTGTGTTTCAGGGAACTGAAGTCCAGAACAGAGAGCTGGCTTGATTTACAGGTGCTATGTCAGCCCCCAACCAATCCAACACCAGCTCTTTGCCTTTTCTCCTGATGGGCATCCCTGGCCTGGAAAGTCTCCACATCTGGATTTCCATCCCATTCTGCTTTATGTACATCATGACCTTGCTGGGCAATAGCACAATCCTTCTCACTGTAAGGCTGGAGGAAAGCCTCCATGAGCCTATGTACTATTTCATGTCCATGTTGGCTGCCATCGACCTCGTCTTCTCGACTGCTGTGGTGCCCAAAATGCTATGTGTATTCTGGCTGGATGCAAGAGAAATTGCTTTTGAGGGCTGCTTCATCCAGATGTTTTTCATCCACACATTCACAGCGGTGGAGTCAGGGGTGCTCCTGGCCATGTCCTTTGATCGGTACATAGCCATCTGCAATCCCCTAAGATACACCACCATCCTGACGAGTTCAAGGACCATGCAGGTAGGACTGCTGTCTCTGGCCAGGGGGGTTGCTGTCATGATCCCTTTGATGTGCCTGCTCACCAGCTTACCCTACTGCAAAACCAGAGTCATCCCTCACTCCTACTGTGAGCACATGGCCGTGGTGGAGCTGGCCTGTGCCGACCCATCTGTCAGCAATCTCTACAGCATCATCGTGGCAACACTCTTGGTGGGGTCAGACTCCATCTTCATCACCTTCTCCTATGGTATGATCCTTAGGTCTGTGTTAAGGCTGCCGTCCAGGGAGGCACGCCTCAAGGCCTTCAGCACCTGCGGGTCCCATGTTTTCATCATCCTACTGTTTTACATAGGCGGTCTCCTCTCCATGTACCTGCAGATGTTTTCTCTCGGCTTGGCTCCTCACACCCAAGTCCTGGTGGCTGATTTCTATTTGACAGTCCCTCCCATGCTCAACCCACTTATTTACGGCATGAAGACAAAGCAGATCCAGGAACGGATCATTAAACTCCTAGAGCAGCTGGCAGGACTCCGTATCTCACCTGCTGATAATGACAGGGCAGATACTGAGAAAGGGAAGTTCTCCTAGAAGGCAATTCATCCTGTTCTAGCATAGATGTGGAGTTAGATGAGATGAATTATCCCCAAGAAACATCCATCTCTCTCCAGTGACTGGAAAGGGAACCTGCACTAGGTGCTTGGATTTGAGATGGCAAAGGTTTATTGAGATGAAGCCAATGAGCTGGTCCTGATGGGTGCAGGACAACTGTCTCTTTGTCCAAAGCATTCATATTTTATGAAATATCGCTTTTTCCCCCCAAGCACCTCTACTTTCAAACACTTTTCTCTGAAGAAAAACAAAGCGTTTGGATCACCTGCACTGTGGGCTTAGCCGTCTGTGAATTCTAATTCAACCTCAAAAGCATCCAGGTACAGGAGGGTTAATACTGCTTCCAAAGAGGACTAAGGTTATTGGGCCTGATCTGCAGAGGGATTTTAGTTTCTAACTCCTTTGATTTCCTTGGGGGCTAGGCACCAGCATC